AACACCATATTATTGTTAAGTAGAAGGTTTGTGATTTTCTTGGATAAGTGTGTAAATGATGTCAGACAGATTGTTTATTGTTTGATTAGTGTTGTTAATTGTTTCATGAATTTGTTTTTGGCATGCCTGTAAGTCTGTGATTTCTTGTGATGGTGGTGTCTTGTTATCTGATGTCTGAATTTGATTTGATAGTTTGCTAGGGTCTTTGTCAGCTTCTGTATTCTTTGTCTCTATGGCTCTGATGTCATCTTTTTTGTAATATTTTAAGTTTGTAATTCTTTTATTCATTTCAGTCATTTGTTGTTTGATATTCTGGATTTCCATTGGATTTGTTACAAAAGTTTGAGAATTTCTTATGTGTTTGTAGTTTCCAAAATGTGTTTCACACTTCTGTTGGGCTTGGTTTGCTGTCGTATTGCTGTTGCATATATATCGGATTTGATTTTTCTCATCTAGGGGATACGTGTTTTCTGATTTTTTGTGTTCTTGCTGGTTTAAACTTTTTATAGAGCTTGCCAAACTTCGAGGCCTGTTTACAATTGTACTCTAATCATTGGTTTTTTTTTCTTTGGTTAGGCATATGACTGTTAAGTATATATCATTATCACAGATGATGCATAGTTTAGTGTATACATGTGGCATAAATTATTTTGCTGTTGACTCAATTCCCAAAATCCTCAAAAATAATTGCATTATGACTCAATTATTTATATGTTTTAATAGTAACTCAATTAATTGCGTCAAATAATTGCGTCAATTGCGTCAAGGATCTACAAATTTCAGCAACATGTATAGTTTAGTGTCAATTTGTGCCCATGTAATTTGTATTTTACCAATTGTAAAGTTCTGTTGTGTTGTGTTATTGAGATCTGTTATGTTCTTGAAACTAATGACTACAAATCTTTTTCTTTGGTATGATCCTTTGCATAGGATGTAACATGTTTTTGCTTTGATTTGTTAACAAATAATACATAGGTCAAATATTGTTATGTTGGGTGGTAAGTTTGTAAGTTTCATTGCGATTTGTTCTCTTTTCTTCATTTGTGTTAAGTTTTATTGTGTATCAAAGACCCTAATCATATCTGCTTTGAAAGGGATGCTCTATATGTCTACTAGTTTCTCTTTGCTGTTTTTGTCTTTATATGTAATTGTGATAGTCTGTCACATCTGCTGTGTACTTATTGTAATGCTTGTAATCTGTCCATAACCTGTAAAGGTTTGTTGTACCTCTATGAATATTGTATTCAGGAGATGTCCTATACTCTGATATTGTTTTCCTTTTTTTGAGTGGGATCAAGGGTGGGAAAAAAATCAAAGTGTATATTTTCCAATTATGGTAAGTCTATGGTATATGTTTGTGCTGTCACATGTTGATCTCCGAATGTAGCTGTGATTAGCTCTTGGTTTTTTTTCCCTTCACTGTGGATATTGATGAGTCCTTTGGGGCAGCCTAGTGCCTTGGTGATATATTGGATTTTTTTTCCAATTGTGTCTTCTAAAAGTGTTTTTGCTTTGATATCCATCTTGTTGCATTAATATTCATATTTAATATTTCTGTCGAATGAAGAGTATGGTCTTGGTTTGTTCCATTGATGCAAAGGTTGTTTGCCTTTTTCTTATGTGTTCACTGTTCCTATTTGGCAGTCAGTTTCTATTTCTTTATCTGAGTCATCTATTCTTGTTTACTTATATGAGTCGTTTACTTCTTGAGTAGTGCTTGCTTGTCCTATTAATTGTCCTGCTATTGTATCTGTGAAGGAGCTGGTGTTTTCTTGTTTATAGATGTCACTCCAGAGTTCGTGTATATCAAGTTTATGGGTGCCAAGCTCTTCTCTAACACTGCTTGGTTCTACTGTAGCCATGTTACTGATCTTGTTATTGTATTGAATCTCTTCTTGTAGTGTCGAGATTGCAATCCTTGTTAGAAGCTTTGTTGTTTGTTCTTGTTCTGTTATGTTCAGTTTACTGTTTCTCTCTTCTGTTTGTTGTTGTTTCTTTGCTTTTCCAGCTGACCACGCCTTTGGTAAGCTCGTTCAAATTGTAGTTGGGCCTGGTTGAGACTAGGGTGCTCCTGAGAGTTCTGTTTGAATTCATATTTTTTTCTTTTTACTGGGTTTCCTAATTTGATAATTGTATGTGAGTGGAAAAGAGTTCCCAATAAAGTCTCATATCTAATGTCTTTAATCAATTAAAAAAAAAATAAAAAAAATAAATTTTATAATAAATTATTTGACTTGATATATTTATTATACAAAAAAATTTTTTAATATATGATTTACATCACAAAATATTTTATTTTTTATTTAATAACTTAATAAAAAAGAATTTCTTACTTATTATTCTATTTGTAAGAATAAAATAATAATTAAGAGCTTTCAAACAAGATATTAATTACTTAATTTGAGTCAATATTAATTAATTTAGACTTTTATTTTCTCAAATAATAATTTTTTTTAAAAAACACTTATTTGTATTTTTATATAACTTAACAAATGAGAATTTATTATTAATATATTTGTAAGAAAAAATATAGATATTAAAAACTTTTAAACAAGATATAGTAGCTTAAATTTAGAAGAATATTCATAAATTTAAATCTTTGTTTTGTGTAAATAATTATCATAAAACATAAAACATATACATATATATATTTAATTTTTTATCTATTCTGAATTATTAAAACAATTTTTATTATAACAAATCAATATTTTTCTGAAATATCCAGTTTTGAGCTATATAATAATAGTAAAATAAAAAAAAAATACCAGTTTTTTATTGAGTTATTTTAGTTCAAAGTTGAATATTCAATAGGTAAATTTGTAAAAATAATTTTTATACTTGATATTTTAATCAATTCTATATTACCAAACCTATATTTTTTAAAAGTTCTAATATTTAACTATCTAAAGGAAATAAGATATAAAGTATTAAATATATTTTTATTCATATTGTTGGGCCGGAAAATGGTGAGTCAGTTGCTTCACCGGTCCAAAGTTCACATTACTAAAGGTAAGTTGAGACATGTATAATTGATTTAGCCAGGCAGTACTAATTAACTTCTTTTCTTTTCTTTCCTGGCACTCGTTTCCTTCCTGATACCCCAGGCTATGTCTATCTAGCGACAGTTATCCTTCCTAAAATGGTGCATACTCAAAAAGGTAAGTTGTTAATTATTACTTTCTCTTTATAGCAACTCAATGTAACTATCATTTCTCTTTTAATCTCTTTTTTTATTAATTTACTTTGTACGTGTTCGTGTCTGTCTTCCCTTTCTTCTACACTGCTGCTATTTATTTACCCATCTGCTTATTAATTATAAATCTCACAGCTATACTATTGATGCATAAATTGATAATGCTAAACTATCAAGGCTAAAATAAACTATGGGTAAGTTACATAAGCCTCTATAACTATATTTTGCTATATTAATTACTAATGCTATACTAAATTTCCAGGGTACGCGACATGATAGTTATGGTACGTGACTATACCATGTGATTTTTACCAGGCTAATAATATTAAACAATTTAAATTTGATATTTAAACCAATTTATTTTTATAATTATAAATTTTAAAATTTTATCAAATTAGATAATTATATTATTATTATATTACTTCAATATAATTGCATTAATTTAAAATTGCCAAAATCATATAATTGCTTCACATACAGTATATTTAATTATATTAAAATTGTATAATTGTATTATAATTGTACTATGTATTACATTAATTGCATCATAATTGTACTATGTGTTATATTAATTATGTCACTATAAAATTTTTAAATAATTGTATTATTATGAAAATTTTAGATAACTGTATCATCAGTAAATTAATTTTTGTTACATGTATAGTATCAGATAATAGTTAATAATTTTTTAGTTTATTTTACAAAATAATAAGATTTTTTGTTGCTATAAGAGTGTTATATTTAGTAACAGATCTATTAAAAAAATTTTTACTAGTTTGTTTATATAATTTAAAATTTTTGTATTAAGAATTATATTGAGATATATTTTTATTATTAATAACTATAAAGTGTTAATAAAAATTTGATAAAGTATTGATCAAAAAATAAAATAAAGTTAAAATATTATACAGTATATAAAAAAGTTATTCAGTTTGAAGACTAAAAGGTTATTGTTGCTATTGTTATAATAAACATATATAATAATAGGTTATATAATTGAAAAGATAATATAATTATTATTTTAGAAATTAATTATAATACAGTAAAGAAGAAATCTAAAAGTTTTTAAATATTATTAAATATATATTATTAAATATATATATATAATATAAAACTCTTTCCCATATTACATCGTTTGTGAAAAAATTTATTATAAAAGGAAATTAAAAAATTTTATCTTCAAAAAAAATACCCAAGGATCCTGAGGGCTCTTCCTCTCCCAAGGTCTGTTCAAGCAACTATAAGTTTATCTTTCTGGATGTTCTCATAACCAACATTTTAAACTTACAAGCAGTCATAGTTTATAAAAATACAAAAACAAACAAGATTATTGCTTTTAGTCCAGCGACAACTATCAAACTTCTCCTACTTGAAAACCATTTACAAATTTGATTTACTTCAGTATGCTCCACTATTGATAGACCTAAAGTCCTAAAAATAATTGTTGCTTCCTTCAAACCCTATAGAAAAAGTATCTTCTCTTCTTCTGCAACCACAGTAAACATATCTCTTCTGGATCCCATGACAGCAGATGCTCTGAACTTATTTTTTGGCTTCCAAAACATCTTCAACATTACTGACAGTAACAGACTAGAAGTGATAAAAGAAATGAACAGACTAAATCTCAATTACAAGCTTCATATACTATGGAACAAAATCGATATCCAATTTGATAATAGCGGAAATTTTTTTTCTTTAATCCAAAAAACCAAAATCTCCAAATCCTCCAAATATACTGCACCCAATGAAATAATGAGTGATAACAATAATATGCAAGACGATTGTCTTCCCAGTATATATCATGAATATGACAGCCTGCCCAACACTAATACCAGTACAGCAGTGTACCAAACAGATATGGAAATAGATAAGCAAAGCACGAATCCAAACCAATCTGAATTAACCAACTCCACTCTCCCCACAAACCTAACCTCTTAGGCAGACGAAGTCGACGAAGCAACAACAAATAGATCAACAACCCCTCTACTATTGAAGCTGACATCAGGAGAGCGAGCCTTCTGGACAAACACTCAAAAATCCTTGAGCTATGTAGAGAAGTCGACAAATGCGACAGAAACACTGACGCAATCATTCAATAGTTCCTCAATATAAGAAAGAATAGTCCTTCTGAAGTAAAACCAACATCCACTACCATTATAATCAAACTTGTCTATAGAGACTGCACCTTCTTCAGAATATTTGCAAGGGATAATCTCCTTAAAAACAAACATCAAATCGAATACGATAACTTGGAGAAAGGATTTCACAATAATTACCTCAAAGCAAATAATATTGGTTATATCAATAGATCAACAAAGAAAAAATTAGAGCAATAATCAATAAAGCCCTCTTTATCACATACCTCAAATCCACTGACCTCACAATCTTAAACACTGGCAAATAGTTCAAATTCTTGATTTTGGCTTCAGCTTCTTCATTAATCCCACTATGGAAAAAATTGACTATTAAGCTATAATTCTAAAATGCGAAGAAGCAATTAAAGATAAACTTTCCACTCTTTCTGAACTTGTTCCATCCTCAATTAAAATCAAACTTTTTAAAGCTATTCCAATTACCTCTCTCCAATATACAACTGAAGTAGTCGATAGCCTCAGGGCCTTTTACAACTTTGACCAACTTCTTGAATCATACTTTGTACAAAGATCACCACTACCTAAGAATCTATCAGACCTTAAATCTGAACTTAGAAGTATTTTCTTCCTGACCAAGTGAAGCGACCTCAGAAACTTAAGAGATCTTACTGATAAATTAAGAGACCACTACTATATTTTTTTCAAGCTATCTAAGTCATACTTCAAGTTTTCCCCACCAAAAACACTTCTGCCAGAATTATACACAGAACTCTCATCTAACCTTGCTCACCACTTTCTAGTAGAAAGCAACTCTAAAAAAATTCATTCTGCCATACAGCTTCTTAGAGACAACAACTTTGTAGTTTGTCATTTTTCTCTGGATTACATTCAAGTCAAGTGCTCATTTTTGCCAGCACTATGGTTTAGTGAAAACAATTTCATCTTCTTACCAATCCAATCACAAAAGAAAGTCAAGGACTTCATCACTACACTTATATAAAAATTCTTCATTAAGCTGCCCCTGGGTTCTGAGTGGATTAACAAAAACCTAATCCAGGACAAAATATCTTGCATCTCAGAGAAAATTGAAACACTTAAAGAGCAACTGAACATTACAGATAAGGAACTTTACAAAGACTTGTCAACACATCCACAAACCTTAAAAAGAATAAAAAAAACTTACCAAGGGCAAATTCCTAGAGAATGGATCTCACCAGTTCTCCTACTTCTGCCCTCCATAGAGGAAGCTAATAACCATTTGAAACAAAATGATATCAATATTACATTGCCACTAATTGAAGACCAATACCTAGCTGGTGCCATAAAATTACTTAAAAACTACTTCCACTTTGACAGTCTCCCTGCCACCTTTATCATTAAAAAAGAGTTACCTGACCTAGGCTTGACCCTTCTCCCATGCCTCATTTAATTATGATGATCCCCACAATCAACTTAATATTCTCCCTTATAACAACACTCCCATACTCCAGCCCTTCACTGACTATTAAAAACCTTCTTACAATCACAATACTTAATATTAGAGGCCTTAACCAAAAAGGCAAATTAAACGAAATTATCTGTGCTATTAAAAACAAAAGAGTAATTTTCTGCTATACCAAAACAAAAATCTCATCAAACTATCAGTTGTCAAATAGAATAGAAGACAAAGTTATAATAGCAAGCAAACTCAGTTCCTCAGCCAGTAATGGCACATGCCTTATATTCTCTTCAAATATAGCATGTCACATCTTCAAAATGTATACTGAAAATGAATACTGGTATGCAACCTATCTAAAATTCAAACTCAAGGCTGATGTTATTATAATTGCAATATATCTCCTGCATGACAGAACAAACCGTTGTATAGCAGTAATGTCTTTTAAAAACTTCCTCACCAATTACAAAAACAAACATCTCATTGTCACTGGAGATTTTAATTCTTATCCAAAAGGTACCCCATTTATTAATGCTCTGACCATGCTCCACAAGCAACAGGTTTACAAGCTTATAGGAAGTTTAATTGATATTGCCAAAGTCACCAACAAGGAGCACCAATACATACACATCATAAATACCACCGCCTCAAGGCTGGACCAAATCTGGATTTCTGTAAACCTAACAAGCAAAGTATTGAGTTACAAAGTATCCAATCAATCGTTCATTCCCACAAATCACAAAATGATTATCATTATACTTGACTGGTTTGAATATAGACCTAATTGTATCTCTTTTACCACCAAAGCCTATCAATTTGACAAAGCAACCAAAGAACAATTACAAACTATACAGGAGTCAATTGAACTTGCCTGTACAAGAGCAAACAACCTTTTATGGGATAAAATTAACTTAATTTTCAAAATGGCTATAAGCAACAATATTCTCTCTAAGCAACAAAAGGTACCTACATCACTGGCCAGGGCATTCCCCCAGTATAACAACAACATCAGAGCAACAAAAAAAGCAATAAAACAGATCCGTAACAAAAGAATACCTACAAGCTTTCACAAATGGGATCAATTATCCTTGAAAACCTTACCAGCCAGCCACCATCTATTAAAACCCTTAGAAAAGTTATCAAAGTTCTTCTGAATGAAAAAATGAAAAAAGCAAGGCAGCTCACAATTGATAAGATTTAACACTACATTAAGAAAAACTTTTACAAATTTTGGGAGAAGCCTAAAGCAGCCTTGGGAGATCTAAAACTGTCTCTAAATTTCTTTATCCTGTCAGATGAAAATGAACTCCAATATGACCTTGACACGTTCAATGAAATTATCATCAACTACTTTAAAAACACCTTGTGCAGCAAGCCTTTCAGACTTGACAAGCAGTGGTCACTTGAATATGCTTACAGGGATTCTATTCTTTCCAATACCTTCGACAAAGCAACAATAGAAATCACACTGGATGAAATTAATAGTGTACTTGCTAATTTATCCAAAAGAAAGTTATCTGGCCTTACAACAATCTCTTATAAGCTTTGGTCGAACCTAGGCTTCTCTGCAAAAATGCATATTAAAAAACTTTTCAACTCAATTATAAACTCTGGCAATCCTCCCATCTACTGGAAACACTCAGTAGTCACTCTCCTGCCAAAAAAAATAGTCTGGTCTTATGAACTAATGGATACTTGACTGATCTCTCTAATCAAAACCAGTAGGAAAATTTTTATCAAAATTATTAATATCAGGTTGTCTGAAATCATCTGCAAAAACAAAATCCTATCAGAAAACTTCTTTGCTGGTCTCAAAAATCAAAGTACCATGGAACCCCTAGCTATAATTTCATCTGAATTTGAAGCCACAAATAATCTTAATAGATAATACTGGATCGCCTCCTTTGACATCCCTAAAGCTTTCAACTCTGTAAATCTTAATAGCTTAGAAGCAATCATAAAATGAATTAAGCTTCCCCCACAAATAATCACATTCATTTCAAACCTTCTTCACAACTATGAATTAAATTTCATAATATACTACAAACTCTCCGACCCACTAATAGGAAATAATGGTCTGGACTATACATGTGTTCATATTTAATTCAGACATTTTTCAAAAACCGTATTATGTTTATATTACTAAGTAACAATTAATAAATAATTGAGAATCGTATTTAATTCAGAATCGTATTGTCGATCAAATTTCCTTTTATAGTAATAAGGAAACATGTATAGTCTGGACCAAGGAGAAACCCTGGCACTCTTACTTTGGACTATCTTCTATGACTCCATAGTATTCAAAATAATAAAACAACTGTCTGACAAAGTCCAAATTTTTACATACTGTATATGGATGACACTGCTATCTCGAGCAGCTCCTTACAAAACTTGCAAAAAGCCACAGATCTATTCTGCTCCTTTCGAGTTAAACAACATCAAGTGTAATAAGAAAAAAACAGACCTTATAACTAACCTTTAACCTTCATACCCAAGCAAACAGAACTTTTTACTAGTTGAGAATGAATCAATTCATGCCAAACCATATAATGAAGCTATCAAATATCTTGGCATCTTCCTTTCAGAAAATTCTTCCAACTGTGCAACATGAAAAGCTCTTACTAAAAAAATTAAAAACTTTACATCGGCTATAGCAACTTAAAAATCATGGAACAGGCAAATTATCAAACAAGTATCTCACTGGATTATTTCTGCACAACTGGAGTATACTACACATATCTTCTTTACAACAAACAATAAAATAAACTTTCTTCAAGTCAAACTTAACAAAGTAACAAAATCAAAGCTTGACATCAAGCAAACAATTTCTAACAAGATCACCTACTCCAAAGTAGACTTAGACCTAGTTAACTTGCAAAATAGAAGAGACATTATAGCAACCAAACTCTTGGTCACAAGGCTTGCCAACCCAGCAACCTTCCAGTATACCAAACATGAAATCATATTAATATAAGCCATATATGTTATCTGGTTATGTCCCATTTGTTTTTTACAATTATTCAAAAACTTATAGCTAACGTAAGCAGCCAAAATTGCTATCAAATAACAAAAATCAGTAAAAAAACAGTCCTGTCCCTCTTCTTTTTTAATATCAAAATCCTTCCCAACATATTTGTTTTTAATAAGCCCTCTAAACTCACTTGGCAAAAACTTCACACTCACAAGAGCTTTATCATCAAAGACCCTATATCTTATTGGTTTACCAGTCTAACAAACATATCACCACCACTTGTTAGTAATACTTCATCCCTACCAAATCTGAGTCCCAGATTTTGGAGCTTTTTGGAAAATAATTACCTAAGCTTTATCAAAGTGAAACGCAATGCCATAATTTGACTGTCACTTACTGGAAGACATTACGTTCTTGCTTCAGGCCACAAATATATTACTTCTTGTTCTTGCCCAACACAACCTTGCCTTAAGAGCAAGTACCTTAGCAAACTCAAATCAACCTGAACCATAAAATACAACAGCTACTATGAACTCCTTAATAATGCTAATAAACTGATTTCAATTCTCACCCCTATATCTACGCATACTCTCCAGCTAATAATACAATCACC